GTAAATAGGGTTAGTTAATCCACTCAGGCAAGAGCCTCCTAAGTTCAAGAGGTGGTCTCTTGTTTGTCTTTTATGGGATTTCAAAGGATTGAAATGAAAGGCTATCACAGCACGTGCACACACACAAATACACACACACATACCATTTATATCACTGATTTCAGCAGCTAGATTGGCTGGATTGTACTAGAGACTGGAACTTTTTTGAAGGGTAGTTGCCCATAACAGAAACTGGTGAGATTTTACAGGCTCTTGAGAACAAGAACTGGGGAAACTTATCACACTTCTGGAAAGGTATAAACTGATGAGAGGTCCCCTTGACCCTGAGGGTCTCAGTGACTGGGACAGGGCCACACACAGCCGCAAGAGTCAGAGCTCTCTCCCTGTAGTTCACAGCCCCATAACTAGTCCATTGTCCAGGCTAATGAAATCTAATCCTGCACCTCCTGCCATCCAGAAGCTAAAGGGTTAGTGAATAGAGGTGCCTGGGCTTCTGAGCCAAGTCCTGGAACACCCTAGAGCAAGCTGAAGTGGGGCAAAGTAACTCTCCTATACTAGCTAAAGGCCAGTCCTGCACCTATCCCCTGTAGCATCCCAGAACAATACTCCTACCCCTCACTCCCTTGTCTAGCCACCTTGAGCTCTTGGAAGAATGTCTATCAACATCTAAACATGCTTCAGCACTTCCTATGACTAAAAAATTCAAAATCAACCAAAAAATCAAAATTCTTTTGCTTGCCCAGCTCCTGTGGTGGTTTGAATAACTGTCTCCTATAGGCTCAAGTATTTGAACACTTGGTCAGTTGGTAGAGAGACCTGGAACCTTTAGGAGGTTTAGGGGAGGGTCCTGGAATCTTTAGGAGGTGTGGCCTTGCTGGAGGAAGCATGTAACTAGGGGCAGGCATGTACCTAGAGAGTTCATAACTTGTCCCCCTTCTAGTTTATTCTGTCTGCCCGAAGATGTGAGCTTTCTGCTCCAGCTGCCTCCTGCCATGCCAGGATGGACTCTCACCCCTCAGGAACTGTAAGCCCAATCAACTCTTCCTTCTAGAAGTTTCCTTGGTCATGGTGTTTTATCACAGCAACAGAAAAGTAACTAATACAGCTCCCTCCAGCCTCTCTAGATGCTCAACAGCCACTGCCTTCCTGCTAGATTCTGTTTCCTCCAACAACATTCCTGCTCCTTAGCTACCTCTTTCAGTATGTTTTGCTGGGTGGGTCTACCTCTTTCTCAGACCTCTGCACCAGGTCCCTTCCTGGGATCTTTCCTTCTCTTTCTAGATTCCTCTTGTCTGGGTGATTTACTCTAGTCTGCAGATTTTAAATGCCACCCCTAGTGCATTGATTCTGACCCTATGTCCCCACATTTTCAAACTTACCCCTGAGCTTCTGATGCATGTATCTACTTGATATCTACACAGGGTGTTTAATAACTACCTGCATTCGAAGCACCTTAAAACTGAATGGTTTGTTTCCTTATTGTTGAGTTCTGAGTTCATTGTACATTTTGGATAATAGTTCAGACACAGTCTTCATGAGACATGTCCTTTGCAAATGTTTTCTCCTGCTTTATTGTCTTCTTGCACTCGATAATGTCTTTACAAAGAAATTCTGAATTTTACTGTAGTGTCATTTATTAATTCTTTTTTTCAAGGACATGTCTTTGGTATTTTATCTAAAATGCTATCCCCACCTCCGAGGTCAGCTAGGCTTTCTCTTATCTTCTAAGAGTTTTATAGTTGTACTTATGCTTAGGTTTGAGATCCATTTGGAGTGAGTTTTTGTGAAGGATATAAGGTTTGTCTAGATTTTTTTTCATGTGTCTGTCCAGTTGATCCAATACCATTGATCAAAAAGATTTTGTCCCTCAGTAAATGTCAGCATCAAGCACCCCCTTGCTCAGACTGAAAACCCAAAAGTAATTCTAATTAAAAATTTTTCCTTTTGTTTTTTCAAGACAGGGTCTCATGTAGCCCAGACTTGCCTGGAACTCACTATGTAGCCTCTGCCTCCTGTATAGGCATGAACCACCACATCTGGCCAGAAGTCATTCCTTTTGTGTATGTGTTCATGTCTGTGTACATGTGTGCAGGTGCATGTGTGCACGTAGATATGGAGGCTAGAGGTCAATATTGGATGTCTTCCTCAATCCCTCTCCATTTTATTTCTTGAGACAGATTCCCTCACTGAACCCGAAGCTCCCCAATTTGGTGAGTCTGACTAGCCAGAAAGCTCCAGGGATCTACCAGATTTTACATAGGCTCTAGAGATCCAATTCTGATCCTCATGCTCTTTACTGAGTCATCTCCCCAATCCCAGAAGTCATTCTTGAATCCTTCCTTTCCACTTGCATCTACTCTGTGTCTTGTCAAATCTTCCTCTGGCAAATAGAACAAAGCAGGCTGCATCTATTTCCACTTAGTTGGTGTTAAGAGTTAATCTTATTTTTTTCTACTATAGCTGGTCTTTTTCTACTATAGCCTTTTTATCTTAAAAGAAGAAATAAGAATTTATCATACTTTGACCTTCAGTCTTAAATGGAAACACAGTCAGGGTAATGTATTTTTGATGAGATATAGAAATTGGATGTGATTGACAGTTCAGGTTAAATATCTTGGAAGGAAAGGTAAAGCTGCGGCCTTACACAGCCACAAACCACATGGAGCTACTAAGCACTGGAAGTGTGCCTAGTTTGGTTTGAGATGTGTTAGGAGTATAAAATACACTTCAAATCTAAAGAGCTTAGGATGGGTTGAAGGTCTGTTATCCAAAAATGCTTGGGACCATGAGTGCTTCAGAATTCAGAGTTTTTCAGATTTGGGAATATTTGCATAGACTCTGCTGGCTGAGCATTTCTAACCCCCCAAATCCTAAATGGTCCAAATCTAAATGGCTTTTATATCAGTGCTCAAAATGTTTGGATTCCAGAGCATTTCAGACTTTGGGTTTTAGATGCTTAACCTATGTGAAAGAAAAACATCTAAAATGTATTAGTAATTTTAAGGTTGATCACACATTAAAATAACAACTTGGATATTAAATAAATAAAATACATTATTAAGATGAATTTAAAATGTGGCTGCTAGTCAGGTGTGGTGGGTGGGGCACACCTGTAATCCAAGCAAAGCACTTGGGAGTCAGAGGCAGGGGGATCACCTAAGCTTGAGGCCAGCCTGGTCTTCAAAGCCAAACCAGCCAGGGCTACAAAGCAAGACCTTGTCTCAAGAAATGAAAAAAAAGAAAAAAAAAAAAAAAGAGTGGCAGTTATAAACAGACACACAGCCCCCACTGCATTGGACAATTTGCTGCAGTCAGGCCTCTGACAACCCCTTCCTGTTCTCAAGGCTCTTCCACCCATCTTTCCTCTCTACACTTCCACCAGCTCAGAAACAGGGAGGATGTGGCATGATGCCAGTTGACTTCTCAAAATTTACATAACAATGTATGACTCTTTGAAACCTTGTCCTTTGAAGACAGTGATTCAAGGCCCAGGGAACATGGCGCTATCCTCACTATACCTCAGCCATGCCAGCTTGTCTGCTCCTCCTGGGAGTCAGGTGCTTTCTTGCCTCACAGCATCTGCATTGATTGCTGCTTCTGCCTGGGATGCATCTACTTTTTTTTCAACTTTATAAGCTGATTTTTTATACTTTTGAGTAAAGCACCTACCATTCTTGCTTTGACACTCCTCAAGTCTTGGCTTACATAAAGGTAAATTCTCAGACAGAATGTAATTCTAGTTTTCCATCGTCTTCAAATCTTTTTTTTTTTCAGTGAAAAGTCATCTAGCAATATGTGTAAGATGATCTCATTTTATACAAAAACATATGTAGATGTATTCATATATGTAAACACATCACTATTCAGAAAGATTCATACCAAATAGCTAACTGAAGTTCCCTCTGGGATCATATTCTATATATTATTCTGCAACTTCCTTCTTCACAAAGCAACATGAATGAGAAATCTTTCCATGCCAGCTCATATATATGTACTTTATTCTTTTTAATGGCTGGTGGTATTCTTTTATATGGACGCATTATAATTCATTTCACCATTTTCCTATATTGATGGATATTTTAAACTGTTTCCAATTGTTTTTGCTGTTACAATTGAATCTTATTACAGCTGATCGGATTTCAATTCTTTGGACCACAGAAAATAATTTACCTTCTCATCTACGGGAACCAGGCTTTTATCATAGTTTCTGAAATAATACATCCAGTTTAGTTGTGAAATGTGGCCACCTTAAGCATTAGTAAGCTTTTACATGCAGTTTATATGTTGATATGATTTTTACCTTAACTAACTTCTTTAAAAATTTAAAGTACATAAGCACTTTCTGATGACTTGGTATTTACAGTAATACATATACAGTGGCTTTATCAACTATACAACTGAAGGATGAATTTTTCTTTTTAAAAATTGAGGTACAACATATACAATAAAGCACACAAATCTTGACTGTACATTTAAAATTTTTATTATTTATTTATTTATTTGTTAGAACAACTCAGCAAAATAAAATTCAGGTTTATTGTTGGACATTGTTTCACAAATACATCAAACAGGCCAAAATAAATAAATAAACAAATAAATAAACAGCAACTTCACAGACAAAAAAAGGAAAAAAAAGAAACCTTTTATCTTTGGCCTTTTTAACCATCTCATACAAACCAACTACTTATAGTAGTACAGCTAGGTACATACACAAAAAAAGGTACTGGAATGCTTGGAATATGATTTTTTTTGTTGTTGTTGTTTTGTTTTTTTTTCTTTCTCCTTTGAGATTTATAATGAACATGGTCACACCACAAGTAAAGTCAGAAGTAGGACAGAGAACGCTCTGAAGGCTGGTTTGGTCACCCGTTATCATCAAAAATGGCTGACCCCTAACAATATGTACAAACATATAAATAAATACAAACAAATTTTCCTTTTAAAGTACTTTTAAGAAAAAAAGCAGGGCCTCGGAAGTTTTGGGTTTTTCCTCTGGTGGCACTGCCCGCTGTGGGCGGGCGGACCCGCCTCTCTACTGGAAGGTGACCACATTTAGATTCTGAGACGGGAAGTAGGTGAATACGTCAAGGTGGCCATTTAGGTTTAACTTTTCCTTTTTGCTGTCTTGTCATCCTCATCGGTCTTCTGCTTCTTGGTATAAACATCGTCATCCTCATCACCTTTAGCTGCCCGCTTGCACGGCACTGCCTCAGTCTCATCTTCATCCTCTTCCTCACCATCACCTTCTTCCTCCTCCTCTTCCTCCCCACCTTCTTCCTCTTCATCTACCTCATTGTCAGCCTCCTGTTCTCCATTTTCCTCATTAGCGTTCCCATTGGCAGGCGCGTCTCTTCCATTCTCTGCCTCCTCAACTTCCTTCTCCTTCAAGTCCTTGGTGGTGATCTCGGAGCTGGTGGTGTCCACAGCTGCGTCTGACATGGTGGAGCACGCCGGAGATCCGATGCAGCGGGCGGGGGGCGAGCGTGAGGACTGGCGGCCTCTGACGCAGGAGCTGCCAGAGTCCCGGCGCGGGAGGCGGCGGGCGGTGAGGATGGCTGCAGCGAGCACGGAGCCGGACCCAGGAACAACGCAAAGATGGCTTTTCGGAGCAGCCAGTTAAAATTTTTATTTTTCTATGTGTAGGCATGTATGTAAGTGCATCACATCAGTGCAATGCTCACAGGTCAGAAGAGGGCGTTGGATCCCCTGGAACTGGAGTTATGGATAGCTGTTAGCCACCACGTGAGTGCTGGGAACCAAATCCAGGTCCTCGGCAAGAGCAGTCAGTTGCCGAGCCATCTCTCCAGCCCTAATTTTATGCACATACACCTGAGTAACTGACCCACAGATAGAAATATTTAACACTTCCTACACCTTAGTAGGCGAGGGACAGAATGTTTTAAGGATACTATTGTTTTTTTTTTTTTTCTTTTAAATTCCCACAGTTCTTAGTTCTCTGAGACGAATTTTTCTTTATGATTCTTACAGCACCATCAGTTTGGAAAGCAAGGGAAACAAAGGAAGCACAGGAGTATGTCTGCACGGTTTTTCATCTCTACTCAAATTTTTTTTTCACAAGAGCTGCTGATGGGTAAATCAGTCTGAATTTAATGAGAAAATAATGGATTGCTCAAAAATTTCAAGTTTATTTGATCGAAGTTGATGGAATTTTCATTTTATTCTTTCAAACTTGATTATATTAAAGCCAAAATGAGTTTTTCAATGACAACAGTTGCTATTCTGCACTGGTCTTAAAATTAGAATTTTTTGACAGAAAATAAGTTATGCAGTTTTGGTTATAGAATCTAGTTTCTGTGTATGAAAAAAAAAAAAAAAAAAAGAGTCATGGGAGAGGCTGGAGTCAGATCATGGAAGACCTCCACACTGAGCTAAGTCTGGCTTCCCAGAGCCTTGTCTCCTCTCCCGGCTGTCAAGAGCACCCTTAGTGCTGCCATAGCACTACACTTAGTGACTTCTGGAGCTATTCTGGAAGCGCAGCCACAATTTTCTGTGATAAAATTAATTACGATTTTCAAATACAAACAATATTTCTGCAATACAAATCATTAGCTTGTGATGTCTGTCCTTACAACACTTAATCTAGCTGTGTAATCACACAGGTAAGCCACTTAATCTCCCTGTTGCTCAGTGACTTCTGATTTATTCAAGTAAGTGAGTTAAGCAAGATACTCTAAAATGACATTTTTAGGCTGAAAAGTCAATTATTTATAAGAAATCTAAGCATGATTAGCAAAACGTCATTTATCACTCAACAAAAACATCTTTCAGGATATCATTTGGCAATGTTTAAAAATTAACCATTCTTCTGTAGGATAGGCATTTAGGTATAGAAAACTGCTCTGTCATTTTCTCATGTGTATGTAATATGTAACGGTCTGTAACAGTGATTATTTTAGGTGATGTTAAAAGAAGCATATAAAATTGACATTATTTATTATTGTCTTTTTTGAGACAGGTCTCCCTGTAGCCCCAACTGGCCTGGAACTTACTATGTAGACCAGACTGGCTTCAAACTCACAAAGATTCGCCTGCCTCTGCCTTCCAAATACTGGGATTAAAGGCATGCGCCACCATGCCCAGCAGGATTGACAATATTGAGTGGCTATCTCCTCAGCCTTTCCATACCAGACCATTTAATCTATTAATACATCAGCATTATTTTTGTCTACAAGACTGCAAGGCTGGCAGAGTAACTTGCATAGGGTGACATCTAAGAATCCAGGTCTGATCAAACACTCACTCCAATCTATACTGTGTTCTCAGTAATGAAGAGGAACAATAAACCCAGCTAAGGTGTAATAGAAACAAATATAGAAAGTGCCTATGTTTGCTAGAGTAAAACCAAACTGTTACTATAGAAATATGTTAGCCCAGATTCAATAGCTTACAGAACACTGAAGTTCATTTTTCTTTCATGTGCCATGGTAAGCTGCCAGGTTAATGGGTAGCAGCGCACCCCAGAGATGCAGGTTCCTGTCATATTGCTGCCCCACTATCCCTTAGGGTGCTGACCTTGTATACATTATTAATGAGGCCCCTGAAAGGAAAAACACAGATGAACACACATCCAAGTTGCAAATAACCTTCAAACTGCAGCTTAAAGCTATGACCTGACAGGAGCTTCTAACAAGAGGACTAGGAAACTAGGAACAGGACAATTTAAAGATGTGACATATTCTTTGTTCTCTAAGGCAACTAAGACAAGACCTTATGGGGGGGGGGTGCAGGAGGCAGGCCACATAAGCAGGCATAATATGAAGACTTCTCCCTTAGCTGCTGACAAAGTGAAGCAACTCATCACTCAAACACCTACAGAGAGATGCTCCCCCAAGATGATACCAGAATAAGATATTCTGTTTTAGGAAACATAAACTCAAGAGTTAAAGGAAGTGCTGGATGTTGAGAACCCCAATTCTGTGAGCAAGTTCATATTTCATTAACTGTGTCTCACCCTAGAACTCTTAAGTATGTGATGCTGAATAGGCAAAGCATTATTTTTACTCTTATATTTTGAAGAGATGTTTGTACTTATTTGTGTCCATTATTTCACTATGACCTTCTAGAGGCAAGACTAATAAACTGATTTATTGATCAAGCAAGCAGACACAAGTATCCTCAATTGGGAACACCCACTTAACAATTCTCTTCCAATTTTATACTCACTAGCAACTTTCTATTTGTCTGTTGAGTGGACATGGACACAAAAAGTATTCTAAGGCCTGCTAACATTTACTGGGTGCTGAGTGATTTTTTTTTTGGCACATTAATGGATAAAGGTCCCCCATAAAGGTCCTAAACAGATTCAGACTGGTTAAATAACTTGCCCAATTAAGGTCACACGAATAATAAGTAGTACATATAGCCAGGATGCAAACATGGATTGCTGCCCCCCGAGTATGGATGGACCTTCATCACCAGTCTGTGTTAGGAACATCTTTGAGTGGAGATGAAGAACTTGGCGTTCCAGATAGACTGAACTTTTAGAAGTTTGCAAAGTGTTGCACATTCAATATTGTAGGATAAGAAAATCAGTTCCTAGACCTATAAAGCCAAGGCCCAGATCACATGTGTGATTGAAGACTTCATTCAGTGCAAAGTTTGTGGAAAGTGAATCCTGTCTTTTGGATCTAATTGCAGAATAGGACTTTTCACTGAGGTACTCATTTGTAAGTGGTTCAGGACATGAAGGTAACCAGGTTATTGTTTTTGGAGTTTTGAGACAGGGTCTCCCTATAGTTCCAGTGGCCCAGAACTATGTAGACCAGGGTGGCCTCAAATTCACACCACTCCCCCTGCCTCAGGGCCCTAAGTGCTGGGATTACAGTTGTGTACCATCATACCCAGAAAGACCTGTCAACTTAAAAAATATAATTAGTTTTATTCATTTTACTTTGTGTGAATAGGAACGGGTACGCATGTGTGTGAGAGGGCAACTTGCAGGAGTAGCTTCTCTCCTCCATCATGTGGGTGTCAAGGATCGAGCTCAGGTTTGGTGACAGGTGCCCTTACTTGCAGAGCCATCTTAGCCCAGAACTGTCAGTTTTTATAGGAGGCCCCAAACCAATTATAAGCAGCTAAAAATCACTCCAAAGTCGAACTGATTTCTATCGTTATTCTACATTTCTACAAGCTTAAAAATACATCAAGATCAAATTTGCAACTTAAGGGCTGTAAGAGCCAACATTTCTGAAGGCTCTGGCAAAACACAATGTTAAATGAAAGCAGACTAGTCAGAAAAATATACGACAGGAAAAGAGATTTTTGCTGTCTGACTCTGAATGTCAGAGGCAGAGCTACAAAGAGCTTTGAAAACATCACAGGACAACTAAAGGTGATCAGCAGCGTGGTATTCAATACAGGAAGTTGATTAATCCCCAGTAAGAAGACTTACTACACCTCAGTGCTGGCAAATTCTAAGTGAACAGAACTTTCATTTAGAACTGAGTGATGAATCAGGAAGAGTATGTGCCCTCCTTCAGGTTCTGGTCCAAGTCATGCCCAAAGTGCAAGTTAGGCAACACCAGAGAACTGAACTAAATGCAATCACAAACTTTTTTAAAGCTCTGGGCACAAATCAAATCTCCGAAGTGCAAATTTGATTAAGAGGAAGCTATAGACAGGTGCAAAAATGTTTACTTAGAATTCTGAAAGTACACCAACTATCACCAATATAAACATATGAGACATTTCAGATAAAAGCACATGCATATAGGAGAATGCAAAACTTCTAACCAATTTATACATTTTTAACATTTAATTTCAGCCCTAATGAATGCAGCCACTTCAAAACTACTTCCTTTTATTAATGGTTCTCTTCTACAATGTGCAATTATCACATTAGAAGTTAGGGAAAGTTATATAATTTTAAAAGTTTAAAAATAAGATTTCAACTTTAAAATGTCTTTGCAATTTACTCTGCAGCAAATTTAAAAGGCATTTCATTTCTTATATTACTGAAAGACCTAATATCTACTAAATGACACATAATTTCAATGCAGAAATATAGTAAGGATTTTTCAGAGAACTTGGCCAATATCACCTGCAGCTGTTTCACTACTTATCCATCAGACATTGCTAAGTCATCTTCACTACTCTATTGCACCTCCTACCTGTTTGCTTATTGACTGATTTATGGGCAGACTGTTTTTGAGACAGGGTCTTACTTCTAGTCCAGGCTGGCCTGGAATTTACTATGTAACCCTGCTAGCCCCCAATTCTCAACAGTCATCCCAAATGCTGAGATTACTGGGGTCAGGCTACCATGCATGTTCAGCTTTGTTTTGAGACAGGGTCTCCCTATTTTGCTAAAGCTGGCCTTGAACTCACCATTCTCCTGCCTTAGCCTCTGGAGTGCTGGGATTCCAGGCTCGTACCACCATACCCAGCTAACTACATCCTCTGTCAATATCTTTTCTTATGCAGCCTAATCTCTATAAGAAACCACTTTTTTTTTTTCTTGCCCTCTGGGCTATATACTTCTGCATCTTTAAGATGAGAAAGTATTAGAGCGGAGCAAAGGCTGGTTTGGGTATGAATCTACACTTTATGGAAAGGGTCCTATTTTCACACAGAAGCACAGGTGGCCTCATAAGAATGCTAATATGGGAGAGAAAGGGGTACTCAGGGAGGATAGAGCTAAGACTTTGGTCT